TATAAAAAGGACACGAAATGAATGATTTTAAAGGACACAAAATGAATTATTTTGGGTTTAAAGGCACGAAAAGAGGAAAATAAGTTATGGTTTGGGGAAATGGGGTAGGAATTGGGTTGGTTTATGGAATTGAAATATGGATTTAAGCACTCCAAGATTAAATACTCAACCCGATCAATAATTGCGGTGAAAGGTTGTTCATCATCAGGTTTGGATTGGGGAGACATTTTTAGGTGTCTACATAAACTAATTAATGACTAAAGGAATTTGCTTAGTTACTTAATTAATTTGTATGAGTCTAAGAATATTGATCAAACCTGACTTAGTACGACTATAGGCTTGTCATTTTAGAGTAAAACATTTGAAACAGACCTAGACTACTGTTCTAGTAATGGCATAGGAGCTTGTACTTTGGCGCGACAGGCTATTGTCCAGCGTTATGCGACAACACTGTCGCATCGCGCTGGGTCTTAGCGTATGGCGACAGTCTTATTGCTTCGGCGACAGTCTAGTTTCGTGCTCGAGTCTTCACATAGAGTCTAATTAATCAATTTATTAAACAACTAAATATATATCTAGTCCTTAATTGAGTCTAAGCACATAATCCCATGGTCTTACACAAGTGTCAACGCATGCCACTTTCACTCACTATTAAAAGCACACACTTTATAAATATTTCACATTGACCATGTCTAGAGAGTCTATTGTGCGCGTGTTTTCCGTCATTTTTTAGGGGGTAAGTCGGATATTAATCCTCCAATTAAACCATGCTTGTTTAAACCTTGAGCTTGATTCCCAAAAATATTCACCCTTTTATTTCTTTTTCTCTAAAACCAATAAAATCAAAGTCGATTTGAGTCAAGTTATTAAAACAAATGGTTTAATTTACAATACTTAGTCAAGAAGAGAAGGCCGACTAATCAAGGACAACACTTTTATTCAAATCTCCCTTTTTGATAAACCGATCCGTCAAAAGAGAAAGGCTAAGAGGATAATTCCAACTAAAGAAGAAGTCAATGAACTTAGGCAAGACTTGGCTAATGTAACTGAAATTATGAAGACTATGGCTCTTCAAGTCAATGACCCTGCGAGACAAATACAGATGCAACAAATGCAGGAAATCTTGAACAAGCTCTCCAATGACTACAAGTTCCAGGCCATTAGCTCACAAGGGGTATCGGTGGACAAGGAGCTTCTTCGGCACAAGTTCAATGTCAATGACATCTTGTGTAAGACCATGGTAAGCTTGAAACAATAATGAATATCAAGGGGATTGATCGGAAAATCTTTCATTCTTTGTTCTCTTTATCTCTTGAAACCGTTTGCCAACAACGGTTCTTTTCTCTTGACAAAGAAAAGATTTCTACTTGGGATGGGATAGTAAACGCTTTTAATTATAGATATTAATGTAACATTCAGGCTGAAACTGACCATAGAGAGCTTGAAATGTTCAAACAAAACGAGAACAAAGGTTTCACCTCCGTCTTTAATAAGTGGAGGGAAATTTTTGCCAAAATGGTTGAGGTTCCTAGTTAGAAAGAATCTATAAGGATGTTCATTAAGAACCTTTAAGAAAAAAATTTAAGCATCTCAAGTATTAAAGCAATCTGAATACTTTTAAGGCCGTTTATGATATATGAATTAATATTAAGGACGATCTTGAAAAACAAAAAGCTGCTAACAACTCCAACATTGGATGGAAAGGAGAAAAGAACGACAATCCTTCTTCTTCTAAAACCACCCACTCAAAAAACGTTAATACCTTCAATCTGAATGAAGTCCTTTCTATGAATAATCAAGAACAAAATAAGCCATTTAGGAAGAAATATACTCCTATTGTCATGAGTTATGACATCACATTTGATCGCCTTCATGCAAAAGGTATTATAACTCCCATTGGACCATTTGGAGATCCATTGGTCGAAAGGAGGACGACTAGTTGGAACCCCAATGAAGCTATTCAAGGTAGGGGTCTTCTTAGTGAAAACTGTTGGAAGCTAAAGGAAGCTATTCAAGATCTAATTGATAGCAACAAACTTCCCTTGCCTCCTGCAAGCAAGAAGCCAAGTATCAATAGCGCCCTACTTTCAGGTTCTTTTGCTAAATCCGATAAGGAAAGTGATATTGACCCATCATTCCTCATCAAACCAATCAAAGAAGCTCATGCCATTGAGGAAGAGGAGGAAACCTTTTTTCGATTCCATGAGTGATCTTCCGACAAGTTAAAAAATTGCAACAAAAAAAGGAGGTAAGGGCCCTTACACAACTGATGCAGGAATCAATAGTCATTTGTCGCGAGGCCCTCGATCACATAAAGACGAATCAAAATAAACATAACATTCAAGAGGTGACACGCACAGAGACTATTAAGAGAAAACCATTTTCTCTCCAAGTAGTCAAAACACCCAAAAAGAGTAACAAGTCTCACACTCCAATTGGGACCTCTTCTGCAAACTTGTTCAAAATGCTCTTCGAGAGTTAGAAGATCAAACCTCTCGAGCCAAGACCATTTGAATATTTGGAAAATATAGATAGGTTCTATTGTCCATAGCATAAAGCAGGGGGACATACCATAGAACACTGTCTCAAATTCAAAGATTAATTGACACTTAGAAGTTGGCCTAAATCCCACTAGAAAGGGGTATTAGCATCAACAGAGTCTGAGAAAGTGATGATGAGGATGTTTACCTTAAATATGTGGAAGAAACCCCAATTTCCACAATATACCCAGTAGTTGACATTTGGGATGAAGAAGATTCACCCATAGATGTCCTCACAAGATCTGGTAGAGTACAACCTCCCATCACTACATAACATATTCCTTCTACCCAACAAGTTCCCATATAATTCATAGAAGATAATGATGTTGTCACACAACTAAACAAGACTAAGGTCTAAATGAACGTATGGAAACTACTAGCCACATCTCGTGAACATAGAATCGCAGTAATGGATGCTTTGGCTAAAGTAGGGATAGATTCAGAAACCACTCTTGAGGGATTAGCTAATATTTTCACGAGTGATCTTCTAAGTCCCATTAATCTAATCAGTTTTTCAGACAAGGACTTATCTCTAGAAGGTGACAAACACAATAAGGCCTTGAACCTCGAAGTAGCCTACAAGAGAATGAATGTCCTAATTACTCTTGTATATATTGGGTCAGCAATTAATGTTTTCCCATTACAAACTACGAGGATGTTGGGAATAAGGGATGAAGACTTGTCTCCATCAACGCAAGGAAGAAGAGCTTATGACAATACTCACCGCCAAGATCTTGGGACTATTACTATGAATGTCACTGCAGGAGTTATAGAACATGCTACAACTTTCCAAGAGGTTGACATCAAAGCTTCTTTCAAATTATTGCTGGGACGCCCTTGGCTTCATGATCTCAAGACCATCCCTTTATCACTTCATCAACAAGTGAAAGCTATAGTTTTAGGGATTCCTATTACAATCGATGCTTCCCAATTAAGAATCAAAGCAATTGATAAACCTCTCATAAATGTGGAGCACGATGACAACGATGAAGACTTATGGGGCTTTAACGTAGGAAATGTCTCCTTAATCAAGGATGATGAAAGGACCCCTCTTTGCCACGACCTCTATTAAAATATGATAGTTAATGGTATACTCCAAAAACAAGGACACTTTCCCGGAATGACTCTAGGAAAGAAGAAAAGAGTAGACATGCAAACGAAATTGCCTGGCCTTCCTAAATTAGATACTTTCAAACTTGGTTTTGAACCAACTTTGAAAGATTATAAGCAAGCCCGGGAAAAGGCCAATGCGCGGAGAAATTCTTGTACCCACAAGAAAGAAATCCCAAAGGACAGGGCCATATCTGGGTCGGGGCAGCCGGGGCGCCCGCCTAGGGCCCCAAAATTTGAAACCCATATTCGTATATATATATATAAAAAAAAAACTTATTATACGAAATAAGCGGCGTTTATTCTAGATTTCAAGTTAATCAATCAATTTATTCCCTCAAAAATCCCCTCAAATTAATTCCTCCTAGAAAATAGCCCCTTCATCTTTGGGAAGTTGAATTTGCCAAATTAATTCCTATAATCTACCCAAATACAACCGTATACTCTTCAATTTCATTCATGAAATCAATTATTTTTCTGATTTTTCATCTTCTTTCCTAAATTAATTCTAAGAATATGATTTCCCCCATAAACGTTCATCTTTGCAATCAATTTTCAACGGAATCAAAGTCTAAGAATTTTCGTATAAATTATACTCTTTTAATTATTCTTCACTTATCAATTTTCTTAATCACTTTTTTCTATTTTTATCTATTATTTTTTCACCATTATTATGGAGTTTGACTTCGATGTTCGAAGATGAAATCAGAATTCAGATATCATACGAGTACGGAGTATCAGAATATTTATTGAGATTTCTAAAATCATACGAGTAAGTTCTTAAATTTAATTTTTTTTTTCTAGCAATTTAAAGCAATTAATCTATTTTAATTTATGAATAATTCAATTACAAGAAATTTAAAGATGCTACACGAAATACATTTTTTCCAGAATTCTAGTTAGTTCTTAATTTATCAGTTTGCTTGAATTATGAATATGATATTTGATTATTGATTATGAATTATCAAATTGTCAAATGGTAATTTTTAATTATGAATTTATGAATTATCTTATCACTTTATCAGTATCTCTACCCAAAAAAGAAAAGTTATTAGTATCACATTTTTTTATGAAATGTCGATTGATAGATTTTAATTATGGTCTTTAATTCTTTATGGATTCATGAATTATGAGTGTATCAGTGCATGATATTATTACAGATTTACCATATGTTTAATTGTTAAGTGGTAAATGATATATTTAAATAATGTATTATTCAATTGTACTGAATTTATAATTTTATGTTATTGTAGGTGTTGCCGATATTTGGACTTTTCGGATTTACTACTAGCATCTTGCGAGATTCGGTGATATTATTCTTTAACTTTTATTATATTATTTATTTTAATAATGTTTCCGAGAAAATATGCATCCGGACATGATAAAAGGGAAAAAAGAAAACGAGCCCAACATTTGATTGAATCTCAAAGAGGAGCATTAGATAAATTTTTTTGTAGTAGTCCAGTGGAAGAATCTTCGAATAACTTGAATAATGATGATAATTTTAATGATGTGCCAATTTTCGATGTTCCTAATGATGTGCCAATTGTTGATGTTCCTAATAATGTGCCAATTGTCGATGTTACTAATGATGTGCCAAATGTTGATGTTCCTAATGATTTGCCAAATGTTGATGTTCCTAATGATATGCCAAATGTTGATGTGGGTATTAATGAACACTTTATCCCTCCTTTTGATATCTACGATCCTAGAAATTGGGGTTTAATTGATGCTAAAACTAGAGATATTTTGATTGAAAAAGGACCTATAAGAGAGTTAAATCTCACATTTCCTATCGATAGTTTTTCTAGGCATTTTTCATATTCTTATTTTATAAGAAAGTTGAGTAATGGGGAAACTTCAGATAGAAAATGGTTGGTTTATTCAAAACATGTTGATAAAGTATATTGTTTTTGTTGTAAATTGTTCACTTCTCAAAATAACAAAACTCTTTTAGCAAATGATGGAGTGAATGATTGGAAACATTTGAGCGAGAAACTCAAACTACATGAGAATAGTGTAGAACATTTGACTAATATGAGTATTTGGAATGAAACAAGATTGAGATTGAATAAGAACAAAGGCATTGATAAAGAGTTACAAGAAGGGATTCTTAAAGAAAAGGAACGTTGGAGACAAGTTTTATAAGAATAATATATGTTGTTAAATGTCTTGCAAAACATAATTTAGCTTTACGTGGATCTAATGGAAAATTGTATGAGGATAGTAATGGTAATTTTTTTGGTTGTGATTGAAATGATAGCTGAATTTGATTTGATAATGCAAGATCCTATTAGACGCATAAAAAGTCATGAAATTCACTATCACTACCTTGGTCCTCAAATTCAAAATGAATTGATTTCTCTTTTAGCCCATAGTGTTAAAACTTCTATGATAAAGATCATCAAAGAGGCTAAATATTTTTCTGTGATACTTGATTGTACCTCGGATGTGAGCCATCAAGAACAAATGACTTTGATAGTACGATGTGTTAATGTGTCTTGTGATAAGATAAAACTAGAAGAATTTTTTTTAGAATTCTTAATAGTAGATGATACATCAGGGTTGGGACTTTTTAATGAATTGTTAAATGTAGGCAAGTCTCTTGATTTTGATATTGATAATGTTAAAGGACAAGGTTATGACAATGGTTCTAATATGAAAGGAAAACATCAAGGGGTTCAAAATAGACTACTTGGAATAAATCCAAGGGCTTTATATATGCCATGTGCTTGTCATAGTCTTAATCTAACTCTTTCGGATATGGCACATTCTTGTGTTAAAGCTATTTCTTTTTTTGGAATTGTGCAACGCATATACACATTATTTGCAAGTTCTACAAAAAAATGGAAGGTTTTAGTTGATAATGTTCCGGGTCTTACTGTTAAATCTTTATGTAATAATCGATGGACAAGTCGAATCAAAAGTGTACTGTTAAAGCTATTAGGTTTCAAGCGCCTCAAATAAAATTAGCTTTGCAAAAATTGTATGAATCTAGTGGTAATGATGCTAAGACTAAGAGTGAATGTGAAAGTTTAGCTAATTGTGTTGCAAGTTATGAATTTTTACTTGGCATTGTGATTTTGTATGACATTTTATTCTCAATTAACAATGTGAGTAAGAAATTGAAAACTAAGTCTATGTTTATTGGAGCTGCAATGAAGGAAGTGAAAGGTATTATTTTGTATTTTGAGGAGTATAGAAATAATGGCTTTGAATCTAGTATAAAATATTGCTAAAAGCCTTGAATTTGATATGGATTTAGAGCCTACACTTCCGACAAAGCGTCAAATATTTAGAAAAAGGCATAATGGTAATGATGAAGAATTACAATCACCTGAGGAATCTTTTAGAGTTAATTATTTTTTGCTGGTTGTTGATATGGCAATAAACTCTTTGAAAAATATATTTGAACAATTAGAGGTGTTTGACAATATATTTGGATATTTGTTTCATTCAAACAAATTAAAGTCATTAGACAATGATGAATTAAAAAAATCTTGCATCAATTTTAAGACTACTTTTTCTCATAATAATTTGTCTGATGTTGATGCAGATGATCTTTTCTCAGAATTAAAAGTATTGCAAATGACTTTACCAAATATGTTGATGTTGGCACATGAGATTCTAGAGTTTTTCAAAGATGTCGATTGCTTTCCAAATGCATCAATAGCTTATCGGATACTATTGACTATGCCGGTAACGGTTGCATCTACCGAAAGAAGTTTTTCGAAGTTGAAATTATTGAAAACCTACTTGAGATCATCAATGTCTCAAGAAAGGTTGAATGGTTTAGCTACTTTATGTATTGAGAGAACTATGTTAGAGCATATTGATGTAGAAACTATTATTAATGACTTTGCATCTAGAAATGCTAGAAGGAAAAATTTTGTATAAGCGTTATCTTAACTATAAATAAAATACCGCGTATTTTTCATTTTTTGCATACCCAATTTTGTCTATTATTAAATTTAATAGTTAGCTAACTAGGGCCCCATTTTTTAATCCGCCCCTAGGACTCTAAAATCTCAGAAACGGACCTGCCAAAAGGATCAATATTTCCTCACCCTAAATGGACAATTCATAAGAGAGGGTGAAGATTATCCATGCTATGAATTTCCCGAGCCCTTTGTCAAAGATGGAACAGGAAAACCTTGTTCGAAATCTTCCTAGACTGCCTTTTCTTAGATGACATCCCAACTCCTAACTATAAGGAGAAATCACCTCCATATATTTTGACTTTAATGTCATGGGACTTCTCTTTAGGCACTAGAAATATGAGCCAAAATATATTGAAGACAACTTCGTGCTCATTTAAACAACACTATAAAGTGAGAGCTTTGACCCCTCAAAGCTTATCACTCCGGCAGAGGGACTAGTCCAGGGATTGCAAAAGATTGTAAATGTGACTACACCAAGCGGATAGAAGATCGCTATAACAACTAAGGACCTATATTCGAAGAGTCTTCTGAGTCATAGTCTGAATCTGAGTTTTTCTCCATCGGGTTTTCAAAACCTTTAGCTATAGAACCTCCCCCTAGCTCTTCTATTTTAGTATTTACTCCTAGGATAGTTAGTATTCAAGTCCCAACAGACATTTTGTTAATTGATGTGATGGTTTCCGAATTCAATAATATGTCTTCTTTTGCTTACTCCTCATGTCATTCCTTAACTCAAGATGACGAGCATTGCTTAACCAATAATGAAAGTGACAAAGAAATAATTAAAGAAGTGGAAACACTTGAGAATAAAACACCTGTAATAGAAGACACTGAAATAGTGGATATCTCAAAAGATCCAAACATTAAAAGAGAAGTTAAAATCGGACTAACTCTTACTAAAGAAGAAAGAACCAATTTAATTGATCTACTAAAAGAATTTATCGATGTATTGTCTTGGTCATATGAAGATATTCCAGGAATAAATAGAGAAATATCTCAACACACAATACCACTAATTCGAGGAATGAAACCTGTAAAACAAAAGTTACGTCGAATGAAACTCGACGTATCTCTTAAAATAAAAGAAGAAGTTCAAAAACAAATTACTACAGGTTTGTCAAGGTATCCAAATACCCAGAATGGGTTGCAAATGTGGTGCCAGTTCCAAAGAAGGATGGAAGGGTAAGAATGTGTGTTGGCTACAGAGATCTGAATAAGGCAAGTCTAAAGAACGACTTCCCTTTACCACACATCGACATCTTGGTAGACAATACAGAAAATCATGCGCTTCTCTCGTTTATGGATGGATACGCAGCATACAATCAAATTCTCATGGCCAAGGAAGATATGGAAAAGACTACATTCATAATGCCATGGGGCACTTATTGTTACACGGTAATGCCATTTGGGTTGAAAAACGCGGGTGCCACTTACCGAAGAGCAGCGACTGCCTTATTACACGACATGATGCACAAAGAAGTTGAGGTCTACGTAGATGATATGATTGAAAATCAAAAGATCGTCCAGGACATCTATTAGCCTTAAGAAAATTCTTCGAAAGGCTGAGAAAATATAACATGAGGTTAAATCCATCTAATTGTGCCTTTGGAGTAACCTTAGGAAAACTATTAGGTTACATTATAAGCTCTAAAGGAATGGAGATAGACCCAACCAAGATTAAAGCAATCATGTCAATGTCGCATCCTAAGACTGAGAAACAGATTTGAGGATTCATTGGTCGGTTGCAATATATAAGTAGGTTCATAACCAAATTAACCACGTATGTCAAGCCATATTTAAGAAACTAAAGAAGAACGTGCCAGTAATATGGGACGATAAATATCAAAAATTCTTTGAGAAAATCAAAGCCTATCTCGCTAACCCTCTTGTATTAGCACCGACGCTACCGGGAATGAGTAGGCAAACAGTAGAGTAGCACACTACAACCCTTGTCAGGGGAGAAGGTCCCCGATAAAAGGATCAAAACAAAGATGCGCACTCGCTGCTCTAGGGTAGTCGCACCATCCTGAAAGGCCTGCATCAGCATGGTCCGACGAATGCATCGAGCGCTCATCTGTGTCGACCGAGCCTCTCCAAGAGCTCGAAAAGATATAGGGACGATCAAATCCTCTCCTAGTAGAGAGAAAACAGTAATGTCGCTGCCAAATGGTACCGAAGACGCCCGGAACTCTAAACCGTTGATGAGAGAGAAGTCGAGAGGAGTGATCGCCATCTCACCCCAAGGAAAGTAAAATGTGTTGGTGGTGTCCCAAAAGAACTCCACCAGAGCTCAAACCAGAGAAAAGCTCGACGAGAAAAAGTATACGACCCTAGTAGCCTGAAGAAGATGAAGGAGACCACACAACCCCCATTGCTCGCGAAACTCGTTTTTATCGCAAAAGTGAAGGTCGTACATCTGATCAATGGACCTATTGCCTAAGTAGTGGCAACGAACATGATCGATTGTCATCCCGAGCCATATTCTCTCTAAGATGTGAAATTTGGGCGCGAAGTAGAGAGTGTGCTCGTCTCACTCAAGGAACTCCCCTAGGCTAGTGGAAGCTCCCCCGCCTACATTAACGGGCTCGTCCTCCCTATGAACCTTGCGAGAACGAGAACGAGAACGAGAACCAGAGCCATGACGTTGAGACATGCTAAATTATATAAAATAATAATAAATTATAGGTTCTATAGTATCTAAGATTCGCCTAGCCGCATGATACTATGTTCGAACAAAAAATAGAGCACGTAGTAATAAAACAGAGCATGATTTTGGTTCGAGCAGAAATATCATTTTCAAGCAATAAACACAATTTTGTTACAAAACTATGACAAAAATTTTGAAAAATTGGGCATGAATAGCTAGCAAGAACATCAAGAACGAGCCACATTGTTTCTAAAAACTCAAAGGGGTAAACAATGGAAAAACGTTCGTTTCTTCACCAAATCTAGTCAAACAAGTCTTAAAACACTACCAAAGCAATATAAAAGCTTAAATAAACAATTTTATGCCATGAAATTCAACATATCAAGTAAATTAAGCAACAAAAGTTTTGAATTTTTAAGAAATTTGTGAACCAAAACATACAAAATTTTAACAAAACCGAGGTGAGTTTGGAGAAAACTAACATAGATAGGGAAACTAGAGACCGAAAGCTTCGATTTGCAGAAAACTTGAGCAAATTTGGTAGAAAAACGAGAGAGAATGAGCAATTCAAACTTTTGTGCGAAAATCGAGTGAAATGAAGCAGCCACGACAAATTGAGAAGAAAGGTGTTTTTATTTTTGTATTCTCGACTCTAGCGCCAAACAACAGAAATCACGCAATGCGGGATTCCTGTCGCATCGCGACAACGTATGCGCGTGGCGACAAAAAGGTTCCTGAGCGCGCTGGCTCAACGACAAGGCTTGTGGCCCCCAAAATCATTTATGCAGACTTAATGATGCAGCTTGGGTTCCTTGGTACGCCAGTTAGTCCATATAAGCAGATTGACATTATTAGTAGTTGGCTTGATTACAATCGCAGTCTGTGATAGACCTGACCATGATCGTCTCACTTAGTTTAAAGAGCCTAAGCATTGGCTCATCACAAGCACTAAGGTAATCGTTCACGAAGCAAGATCAAGCGCCAAGGTACTAGCCCATTTACAAAATTGGGTCTGAAATGGTTTTATTGCCCAATGATCTAGTAGAGGGCCCATTATTTATTTTTTCTAAAATTATTAGGATTAATTCTAATCTTTCAGAATAGTCTAGAAGGTTATTTTGAGTTCTAATAGCATTACAATTGATAATTAATCTTTTTAGAAAAATAATGATTTTAATTCGAAATAAAACAAGTGTTTTATTATGATAAAATCTGATATAAAGTTAATTAATTTGGAGTTTAATTGCTTAATCATAAAGAAGAGGATTCCGTAAAAAAACGCGCTTTATCTTTTAATTAGCGCTAAACGAAAAAGCTGTCGCCAATGCGTGATGCTTGTCGTTTCGCGTTGGGCTCTGTTGCTGGCGACAAAGGTCAGTTTTATTCCGATTCAAATTATGATTATTTTATATTGATTTTGGACTATTTTCTTATAAATAGGGGTCGTATTTCCCCGTTTTTAATCATTCACTATCATCATTAATCATCCTTAATTCTCTAAAAGCTAAACCTTATTCTTCTTCCTCTTTCTGAACCTTCCCTTTTACAAAATTCCGCATTCACGAGTTCTAGACACACCTAGCCAAGTTCAAACTTGCCTTCGCCCTAGACGTGAAAGGTTGATATTTTATAGGGTTTGGTTCTAAATGTCTATTTTAGTTATTTAGTTTAATTTTTTGTTTTTATATTTTCCTTGAAGTTACTAAAGTGTGTATTTTGTTATTAGAAAAAGATACGAGGCATCGAAGTAAGTAATCTAAATATTCTTTTGATATAGAAATCGTGTTTAATTATTTTGATTCCTAGTAACATGTTAGGATGTTATTTATTGCTTCCTAGTATCATGTTTAGGTAGCTTCCTATTCTTTCTATTATCATGTTAGGGATAAAGATTTGATCTTTATTGTTTAGTGACATGCTAGGATTTGTTATTAATCTTGTTAGTATCATGCCCAGAATCTTGCTATTATTATGCTTTGACAATATTATTATTATTATGCTTTGACAATATTATTATTATGATGATGATTGTTGTTGCTTGATATATTATTATTGTTATTGCTAGATCACGCCTTTTATGCATTTATTAAGGGAATTTATATCTGTAATCACGCTTAATAAGATAATTAATACTCTTGTTTAGGTTAATATGATATAACTTAAGTGATCGCCAATAATAGATTTGTTTGTGCATTAATATTCATCTAACATAGATAAACAGGTTTAGGATTATTATATTGATTATATGTTAGTCAGAAAGCGCACATGAATATGAGAATAATAAAGTAGAGGCCTATTTTTAGGGCAGG